CAGTGTTCTTTGATGGCTCCATTTTGTAAGTGCATTGTTAGACGTCTTGATAGGGTTGTGGTAGTCATCACTAACTACAACTTTTACCCGTTGTTCTAACAACGTTAAGACGGCTTATCGACTTCTTGAGAAGAATATATATATATATATATAATTAAGTGCCAACTCAAACTGCCCCCAAAAACTTCAAAAACTAGTTCTATGCACTTTTTCCCCCCAAAAGAGTCTGCAGCCTAAGCCAGAGCTCTATTGGGGTGGAGTATGAATTTCCAATGTTGCTTATACTATATTTCTGGAACTTGTTCTAGATAATAAGCTGACCTTCACTCTTCACTTGAAGCAGCTGAAGATAAAGTGTTCAAAGGGCATGTAATATATGTTCCCTGTCTTTTCTTCGAGATGTTGGGGAGTAGATTAGCGTTCCATGTTCCATATTTATCGTGTCATTATTCGATATAAGCTCCATTATGTGTCTGGATGTATACTTCTTTCAGAGCCTCAGCTTTGAGGATGTTAAACCACATCCACCATCAGGGGCTTTGGCTTTACACTGAAGCTTTCTGCATTATTCCAGTCCTAAGGTTTGTACACTGAGTCTTTTGGACCACCATTTCATATTCGTCGTCAACAACTCTTTTTGCAATATGCAGCAAAGCTTCAATCCCTTCCTCGGCATCCTACCTGGCATAAATTGTTTTGCCCCAGTCAGCCATGCTTTTTTCTAGTAGACGGTTTGCTATTCTTACCTGTGGTCTTCATCTCCAGGTGGTGTCAATCATTACAAGTCTCTCTACACAACATATTATCTAGGATACAAGCTTCAGTTTATATATATATATGAGTTGGTATTTCCCACAGTTTTTAATATGTGGTAAAGAAATTCACGTGTTAATTATCGCCATTCAGAATGAACGTAAAAGTAGCAATAAAAACAACGGGGAAAATCCTAGTTTGAGGCAAACTGAGGTTGCAAGAGAGTAATGAATTGAGGTGATTGAGGGAGTTATTTCAAGATGCTTAAGTTATTAGTACTAGTATTGAACCTATTGGAAAATGCATTAAATCTGAAGGAAAAAATTATAATGACACTAGCAAATATATAACGTTTATATTGAGGTTTAATTCCATGAGAAAAATCCAGGCTTTGGTAAAATGCAGTCTGTTAGCTTTTAGTGTCTAGAAATATTGCTAATACCACTTAAAAGTCTATCTAAGTACGTTTCAAACACAGTAGTTGTTTCAAAGACTTACGTTTATAACGTTTTAGCGCATTTTAAAACATTAAAAAGTATAACGACGAGTTTGTTTATGGCTCCAAGGGTCTTATTTCTCACAAGTTTCAAGATACTCGTAATTTAAAATAGTAATGCATAAGTTTATGACACAGGCAGATATGTATATTGTAAGTTAGTTAAATTATATTACAACATCCCGTAGGTAATATCGGAAGACACGAGGAACCATCAAGAACGTTACCATTAGGAACTCCTGATCTTACTCAACATCTTAGTGCTAGGAAGGCTTTGAAGAGAGAGCACCAAAGACTATAAAATATTTAATATCGCCTATCTAAGAAAGAGTGGTATTGAGCCAGTGATCTATGATGCTAAATTACTAATAACTTCTGATCAAAAGTAAACCAAAGACATATAAATGAAAATAAGAAGTAAAATAAACTGACTAAACCAATTCGATATAACAAAAACTGACTCTAAGTACCTAATGTCATAAATCAATGCATACAAAATAATTGTTTGTATGTTTTGAATTTCGCGCAAAGCTACACGAGGGCTATCTACACTAGCCGTCCCTAATTAGCAATGTAAGACTAGAAGAAAGGCAGCTAGTAATCACCTCCCACCGCCAATCTTGGGCTACTCTTTTACCCACGAATAGTGGGATTGACCGTCACATTATAACGCCCCTACGGCTGAAAGTGCGAGCATGTTTGGTGGGACAGGGATTCGAACCCGCGACCCGCAGATTGCGAGTCGAGCGCCCTAACCACCCGACCTTGCCGGGCTACAAAATAATAACCTGTACTGATAAACGTCAGGAAAAGGCACAGTAAGAAGCAATATGACCAATTAAAACAGTGCACTGCTGATTACTTCACTTATATCATTCCTGTTTCGGACATCACCACGTGTCAGTTAGCTCTGTAAAATCACTAGATGTATTTTATATAGTATGCAGAGTTACCTAAGATCACCTTTAAAGATGGATACTTGTTTCTACAGCATGCTCATTAGAGAGGAAGTTGGATGACTTATTATATAAATAACTGAAATTAGGAAGATAAGTCTCGTTTGTTTGTTTGTTCTGTTTAACGTCATCTCATGCGCACAATGGGCTAAACATCCAAGCCAGAGATCTCAACGATTCAGCCTTAGCCATCCCTAATTTTGAACTGCTGATCAGAGAGAGAAGGCAACCCGCTGCGGGAAGCGACTACTTTTAAGCGAATAGTGGGAGTGACTCTCATTCTTATAACGCTCCTACAGATGACAGTACGAAGCACGTACTTGGTAATATCACGTCTCGATCCAAAAATTCATTGAGATGTGTTAACCACAAGGCCACAGTCGGACACATAAATTAATACTTTTCCCCTTGATTTGAAGTGTATATTGACTTGTTGTCCTTAGTTTTGATTACATTTTTCATAAAGATATTTGCCAATTATGGGGGCTGGAATGAAAACTTCAGGGTATAAACTGTAATTACCAATCCAACAATCTGTATAACATATTTCTTTATTTTATAATTTTTCTACCTTTCTATAACTGACTGAAGACAATAAATATTAATTTTAAATGTAAGCTATTTTTGTCTTCAGTTTCCATATCCACTCCTAATTTTAAGTTATTTTTACATTCCACATATAAAGTTGGTGAATAAAAGTTAAATATGATATATAATGTATCCCAATATGATATATGATGTATCCCAATTCCTTTGTGGGGTTCGATTTTTTCGTATATGATATCTCTCTCTCACACATTAATTCATTTTACCATTCCCCCTCTGTGTGTAGTTTGAACACAGTTTTTCTGTCTGCTTTACATGTGTGCGCACTTTTAGTGTATCACCGAGAGAGGGGATAAACGTACCTAATGTATAAAAGGTTTACATACCACGTACATGTAAGTTACGATGTGTGGAACTTGAAGACGGATACTGCTTAAGTATCGAGGGTTATACACAAACCTCATGACTATTGCTCATATCTTGAGTTGTACTTTAAGATGTGACTCAAATGTGAATTTGTGTTTTAACATCTGGCTCACATCCGGATATCCGTTTTTAAAATCTAGTTCATTTATTTATAAATGCTATAAAGTCGTCCGCAAGGTCATATCTGACCATCTATAACTCAGATCTCAAAGAAAGTATGTAGCACAAATTAACGCACTTTATTTACGGTTGTTACTTACGTGTTTTATTAATGAAAATACTGAGAACGTTAAAAGTTACGTCATTCATTTTACCTAATAATGTAAGAAATGGGTCAAGATGATCTAAAGTTTCTAAATATTTTAGATCTTTAGATTAAAATTGCTTCAGTAAAGTCGTAAAAATTATATACAAAAATTATATTGTTTTAAAAAACATACACGTGATTAACAAAAGCAAAAAACATTGATCTGCTCTAGAACAAAAGGATTGGCCCGGCATGGCCAGGTGGTTAGGGAGCTCCACTCGCAATCTGCGGGTCGCGGGTTCGAATCCCTGTCCCACTAGACATGCTCGCCCTTTCAACCGTAGGGGCGTTATAATGTTACGGTCAATCCCACTATTTGTTGGTAAAAGAGTTGGCGGTGGGTGGTGATAACTAACTGCCTTCCCTCTAGTCTATCACTGCTAAATTAAGGACTGCTAGCGCAGATAGACCTCGTGTATGTTTGTGCGAAATTCAAAACAAACCAAACTTAAAGTAATTTTGACGAACGCAAATTTCACAGACTAGTTTTCAAAGATTAAGATGAGAAATATATTTAATACCATCATGCCCAAAGATAGAAATAAAGGAATTTGAGTATAGAGACACACAAACGTTTTCTTAAGGGTATGTTATCATTCTTCTTTTTTTTTCCACAAAATAAGAAACTCAATAATCTGAGCGTTTTCGGAAGGCATATCTTTCTTTTTCAGTGTTGAATTGGGTGATTGTTTTCTTTAGAGTGTAGAACAGCCTAGTTCACTTGATAGCCTTCAATAACGATGTCCGCTAATTATTTCGAAATTTTATACTGATATTAACTCTAAGCTTATGAAGGATTTTTCTCTTTGACTGTCGGCATTCGACTGAAATCTTAAAAAAAACGTTTTGATAGAACATCCATCTGTGAGAAGTTAGTTCAGTTACCAGCAATTTTTTCTTTGTTTGTATACAGTCTATCTAATAGCAATACAAAACAAAAAATATAATATAAACCGATAAAAATGGAAAGACGCTGCAGAAGTGAAATAAATTATTTTCTGGGTAAACAGGTTTCTGATCTTGTTTATTTTTTAAGTTTGTTTGTTATGAATTTCGCACAAAGCTACACGAGGGCTATCTGCGCTAGCCGTCCCTAATTTAGCAATGAAAGACTTGAGGGAAAGCGGCAAGTCATCACCACCCACCGCCAACTCTTGAGCTACTCTTTTACCAAGGAATAGTGGGATTGATCGAAACATAATAACGCCCTCATATCTGAAAGGACGAGCATGTTTATGGAACGGGGATTCGAATTCGCGAACCGCAGATTGCGAATCGAGCGCCCTAACCATCTAAAGCTCAAAACTGCACAATTAACTAACTGTGCTGTGCTCACCGCAGGAAGTTAATCTCGAATTTTAGTTTCTTAATCCCTCAAGCTTATAGCTAAGCTACCAGGATGCTGGACGTTTTTAGGACTCTGTCTGTGGAAAAAAATATTGGTTTATTTGGGCTCATCAACCTACTTTATTTCCTAATATCAAAATTTGATTACAGAACAACAGTCTACGGGTCTCCTCTGTTTGAAGTACATGTTGCCTAGCTGTTAGTGTGTATGAGGGTTCATGGTTCATGTCTTATTGCTCCAAAAATGCACTCTGCACTTTGGGGCCATGGATGCACTCTATAAATGACATTCGCATCTTACCATTCGGTCGGACAAGAGTAGCCTATTGACTAGTTGCCTTTCCTCTAACCTATCGGGGTGTCGGCTATGCACAGATAGTCCTTTGTGTAGCTTTGTGCGAAACTTCTGAAAGAAATTGCATGTGTGGAAAGTTTGCACTAGCCAATGTTCTGTCATATATTATATAAACATTAGAGCCTAACACTACTTATGTTTAAAATCTATCTGCTATGATAACACGTAGAGTAAAAATCTGTTTTTCATCATACTGTTAGCAAATCGCTTCATCTGTTTTTACTTCGGCGAAATAAATAGCAGCCGCTATCATAAAAATATACAGACAAGTTTAAACAGGCAAACTTAAAACGATACCTCTTCTGACCGGAGAACGTTACGAAGCCAATTTCAAATTGACAGATGTTAAGGCTCACCTCAGAATCCAAACTACGAAACCTGTTAAAAAAATATGTAAGTAAATGTATATTGTCATAACAAATAAATGTTGAGATAAACTTAAAATATTGGCCATTATTCGTATGTGACAAAACTATTAATCGTATATTTTTAACAATTCAAAATTTTATTTGATTATAGTTTATAGTTTGAAAATTTCCCTCACTGATTTCACATTGTTTAGCTAAATTATTTATTTAACAAATCTGCTTATATGAATATTATCAGTTGAATATCATTGAAGTAGTGAACGAATAAAGGAGTTTAGGTCTAATAATAAGTAGTTTTAATTTCATTGGTTTATATTTAGTTTGAGTTCCATCAGAAAAATTCAGGTTTTGGTAAAATGCAGTCTGTCACCTTTTAGTGTCTGGAAATACTGCTTATACCAATTAAAAGTCTATTTAAATACATTTCAAACACAGTAGTTATTCTGAAGAGTTATGTTTATAACGTTTTAGCGCATTTTGAAACACTAATAAGTATAACGATGAGTTTGTTTATGGCTCCAAGGGTCTTATTCCACAAAAGTTTCAAGATACTTGTAATTTAAACTAGTTATGGAAGAAAAATATCTTGCTGTTCTGGTTCATCAGTCTCTTAAGCCATCCAAGTAATGTGCTATCATTAGTGGCAGGGCAAATAGGATTTTAACTTTTATATACAAAAATATTAAAAACAAGTCTAAAAAGGTTATAATGTCATTGTATAGGTTACTGGTTAGGCCACATTTGGAATATGTGTTCAGTTTTTAGCTCATTACCTTAGGAAAAACATTGATATTGTTGCCAAGAGTTCAAAGGAGGGCTATTAGGACGATACAGGGGATGGAAAGTAGGCTAAGATCCCCCAACTTGTTTTCTCTTGAAAAAAAGAAGAATTAGAAGGGATCTGAGTGAGGTGTTTAAAATTGTAAAAGGAATTGATATCGTCGATGCATCATCTTTTTTCATTCTTACCAGTGAGAATGGTAAGACTAGGAGACATAAATATAGGTTTTGACAGTGTAGGAATCATCTTAAGCTAAGACAGTTTTATTTTTCTAACAGGGTGGTTGGCCTTTGGAATAAGTTGCCTTCGGATTTTGGAGGCAGTAAATTTAAGGAAGTTTATGGGAAAGCTTGATGAATATTTGAATGATAAGGTTAATTTAGTGGATAGAACTGCCTAAATGGTCCAAAAGGTCTCTGGTTATGTTACCCTTAGCTGACCGAGTAGTGATATTTGTAGGTATAAGTAAAGCACCTCCACAGCCCCAAAGGCAGAGCATGTTTTGCTCTGAATGACCTCGTGTCATGAACCGTCCAATTCACAGTCAGTACATAATAACTGAATAACGGGAAGGGTGTCATTCTTGTAATGCATCAACACCTGAAACTATGGAGTGTGTTTAGACCTTGGACTTTCTTCCGCCCGGCATGCTAACCACGAGAAACGCCCTTCTGTAACTTGTTTGGGAAATTTCAATCATAATTCAAAATTAAAAGTGGCTTATTTTATTCAAAAAGTTTGAATTTAACTTTTGATTAACAATATTTAAAAAAGTTTAGTTTAAGTGCGTTCTTTTTAGTAAAAGAACGTGTTTACCACCGGTGGTAATGGTGGTGGTGGGGTTGTGGTGGATAAATAAGCTTTCGGTGTCAAGAAAATCTTGGAAATTCGTTAAAACGATATAGTAAATACACCTACAAAGGTGATTAATGTCTCAAGTAGTGTTAAATTATTCGTTAATAAGTTCCTTTGTAAAAGATAACTTGAATTTAGATATAACAAATCAGTAACATATGGGCTGAAGCTGTTACCCATGGGTACTCTTTTCTATTTGTGAAAGACATGTTGCCAAGTTGTCCAAAAATGTTTTAATTAAAAAAGACACAACTTCGTTGAAGTGATAGAAGGTTAGTTTTTATTAAAAAACCCGGAGAAATATTTATGCTCACAAACAAAAAGTATTCGATTTTCAGAGTTTTTTAAAGCTCCTGATATTGCCACTGAAAGTTTCTTTCAAATTTTAAAAATTGTTTGTTTGTTTTGAATTTCGCGCAAAGCTACACGAGGGCTATCTGCGCTAGCCGTCCCTAATTTAGCAGTGTAAGACTAGAGGGAAGGCAGCTAGTCATCACCACC